ATAGATAGATAGATAGATAGATAGATAGATAGATAGATAGATAGATAGATAGATAGATAGATACATACATACATACATACATACATACATACATACATACATACATAGTCTTTTCACGTGTAAGATTGAGATTGTTTTGTCAACGTTTCGGCGAGGTCTCATTCACCATCTTCAGGCTGGGTTTTGGGCTTAAAGTGTGATCAGTGCTGCTGTCTTTCTATAAATCTTGGTGGGGGTATCTAGCTAGAAAACCAAGGAGTCTATGAAATACCATGCAAAATTGCCCTGCAACATACATAAGACAAACGAACAGGAGAATAAATGCACGGATCACAGAACACAAGAACGCAGTAAGAAAAAAAGAAAAAACTTCCTCCATTTTCCAGCACCTTAAAGCTACAGGACATGAAATTAATTTTGAAGGGACTAGTTTAATCTCCAAAACAGAAGACTTCAACAAGAGAATAATTATGGAAGCTATCGAAATAGAGAAACACCCCCACAACATGAATAAATGTGATGATACTTCCTGCCTACTAGACATCTGGAAACCAGCCCTGGTAAACAAACGAGCCCCAACCACCACCTAGGCTGTTACAACACAAAACAACAATAGGCATACAGCCAGCACCAATCAGCATCAATCTACCAATCATGATACAACCACACTACCAATCATTCCCCTTACTGAAACAAAGCCAGCACTCCACACCCATCCACCAAGATTTGTAGAAAGTCTGCAGCTCCGATTACGCTTTAAGCCCAAAACCCAGCCTGAAGATGGCGAGTGAGACTTTGCTGAAAAGTTGCCAAGACAACCTCAATCTTACACAGAAAAAGACCTGAATACAACAAGATCAGCATATATATACATACATACATACATACATACATACATACATACATACATACATACATACATACATACTTACTTATATTTTGATATCAGAAGAAATGAGGATTTACAGAATATAGATAATTAGACTTTCTAGCAGAAAGGAATTGTCATGGTGTATCATTTTGGAAAGATTTTAATTATAACGTCCATCGTATCAATCAGGAGATATTTGGCAACAACTTAAACCTTAAATATTAAAGTCATAGCTAACAAAAATCAAGTTTTTAATCCACTTCATGCTGTACATGGATGTAAAGTTGGGAAACAGAAGATACAAAAACAAACCATACTGATGGACACTGACTGTGGATTACAGAGATGCAATCCGTCAGGAATACCCAGGATGGGGAGAGTATTTTAGATGCTCTCATGAAACAGCCTTTCTGGCTTAATTATGTGTACATCTAAATAATATCATTCCATGCATTTTCGGCATTTGGTCATGCTGGCCACATGACCACAGAGACATCTTTGGACAACGCTGGCGATGAACACTGTCCCCTAGAGTTGGGAACAACTAGTCAGGAACAACTAGCATATATGTGAGGGGAACCTTCATCTTTTTAAAAAATAATATTGGAATGATCAACTACAAACTGGCAAAGTATCGCAAATGTGATTATTACAAACAATAAACTCAAATATTCAGTATCAAATATGGTGAGTGCATACTCCAGTGCAAGTAATCCTTGTTTAATAACTACTCATTCAGCAACCATTTGACATTGTCATGATGCTGATTGACGGGGATTTAATTTCATAGTTGTGCTGTTGTGATATAATGCAGAACTACCCATATATGTGTCTGTTGGCTAGATTTTCACACAAACCCATGAGATGGATCCATTAACTCTTATTCTTTTTCTCAACTTTTATCGTATCTCTGCATTAATTGCTCGCTAAATGAAGAGAGTTTAAAAATAGCTGCACATGCTGGCACAAAGTTAAAATCCACATGTGAACTAGTCCAAGGACTACAAGGACACTAGACTAAGCTGTAGAACAAAGACAATAAAGTAAAAATCTGAAAAGGGTTAATACCATTAGAGGCAGCTGTGGAATATGATGATCCTTGACAAGAACCTGTTGTGGTGTTGTTCATAAAGCTGCAACTCCCATTGTTCAAAAATTGCATACAATGTGTGTCCTGTGCAGCTGAAGAGGCTCCGTAGAGAGGAAGGGAACGGGTGCTGTATGAAGACACAGCACAGCTGCTATTGAAGTAGTCCCGGGAGAAACGTTGCTGTTCATTGGCTGCTGGACAAAGGCTCGATTCTGCCCTCTGGAGACAGGATCCCGAAGGTGGATGAGTCTGGGTCCTGAACATGGCTGGGTAACTGGCACCGGCTCCATAGAAGTTCTGGTTCGTTTGTGGCACTGTCTGGCAAAGGTATTCAGAATAAGAAGAGCAGTGCGAGTGTGAAGATAATGACGGGCCTACACTGGATGGTCTGGCCATCGGTCCCTGGTTGATAACACTTCCTCGGCTGACCATGGCTGGAGAAATGGGTGGAGTGATAAGGTGGGCACTGCTCTGAGAGAGGTCGGTCTGACCTGGGAAAACAAACAGATTTTTTTCTACAGCCAGGCAATAAGCAATAGTCATAGGTGTTCAAGGGGTCTTCATCTGTGATGCCTTTTGGCAATTTAAAAAAGAACTGATCAAAAGCAAGCATCTCCTTTGTTTCCTACCTGTGGTTTGCATATTCTCACTGTCTCCTGCAGTGCATGGGTTCAGACTGGACGATATGCTACTATGATGACCGGATGATAAAGAGAAATAGGTTTGCTCCATCAGACATTCGTTTTTCACTGAGGCGTCACTAACCATTGGGGAAGCTTTGTTGCGGTTTGCTAGGAAACAAGAACTGGGGGATGCTGTAAAGGTGGCTTTACTGGCATCTGAGAAAATAACAAAGGTTTGATAATATGAAACTTAAACCAGGAAACAAGACAGAATTCCATCAGCTGCATCTGCAGCATATCATGCCAAAAGACTGGTTTGTGCATGGCCATCACAGTGCAAATGCTGCCATTACATACTTGCATCTTGACATATTACATGCAACTCGATATGCAACTTGCAATTGCATGTTGCATGCAATTTGCAGAGTGACATTGTCATTTACTTTACTTTCCTTAAATAATGGACACCCATACAGATAGATATTTGGCATCCATAATACTGGATGGATTAGGCAATCTTCCTTAACCTACAGCCTCCAGGGAACCTGATCTCTCATATCCTGGGCAGCACTAATTTAGTGAAGGCTGTTTTAGGAGATTGTACTGTATTAATTCTTTTGTAATTTAGAAACGTAGTGACTGTGACTTTCACTAAAGAAGTATGCATAAATCATATAGAATAGAAATGCATTCAGGCCATTTTAGGAATGAGACTTCGAGATTACCATGATAACACAGCTGTTAGTGTAAATTATTAAGGTGCTGTATATGATGAAATATTACAAAACAAAGATTGTAATGAAGAGGCCATTTAATAGATTATTAGCACAGAATGTATAACTCAGAATGTATTGCAGATTGTACTTCTAGCTATTAGAAAATGCTATTTCTTTTTAAGAAAGGGCTTTAAAAATCCTTTGAAAAATAAAAGAATGAACTACTTTTATTTTGTGGGTTTTTAAGAAGAGATTGGACAACCATTTGTCTGAAATGGTATAGGGATTCCTTCCTAAGCAGGGGGTTGGACTGGAAAACCTCCAAGGTCCCTTCCAATTCTGTTTTTCTGTTCTGTTCTGTACTTTTTAAGTATTTTTCTTCAACAATCTGCATTGGGCATTTATTAGCTTCAATCACATTGATATGCAAAATGCTGATTCTGGCCTATTAAATATATAGTAATTTGGACCAAATACTAAAACATACAGAATTTCAAAGCATTTTCTTTAGCGTATTATATGAAAAATAAATTTTCCTCCCTTGCATGAAACAAACTCAAAACTTCATTTGAAGGTATAATAAAAGCTTTTTGTAGTGATGTATTGAAGAGGAGAAATTCATTGGAATTTGGATAATTTTGATTTTAACATTTTAATTACATCTAAATAATGATAGTACAATCCAAAAATATTGATTCAACAGTGCCTGCCATTGAATTTAGACAGACTTGCTTTGTAAAAAATATTTTGAATATTATTAAATTATTAAATATTATTGTTCACATGAATTTAGAATGCATTCTCTAGAAATTTAAAGTAATAAGCGTAATAGTGTTACATAAGAGGCAATTATTCCTCTATAGACCAACATGTAAGTGTACACAAATATTCATTCAATTTAGGCATCTGTCCAGCTAACATTAGACAAACAGGCAAACCCCATTGGGCTTCAGATCCCTAAAGATTGCAAACTGCCAATTCCAGTTACCTAGATTCTTCATATATTTGTCCAATAAATTCTGAAGTTCTTGTTCTTTATCATTGTGGAACTGGGTCTCCATTGCAAGGAGGATATATTCATCTAAAAGCATGCGGATGAGATGAAATGAACCTGCCACAGGAAGAAAAGTGAAGAGATGATGCATAACCTTATCTTGCTGACCATCTCTCAACACTGCACAAGGAGCAAGTGAAACAAACAAATAATTGCTGGACTTTCAGTGACCTACTAAGACCAACAAAGCACGGTGCTTAACTCCTTACCCTAATCTTGCTTGATGCTGGCCCACCTCACTCAATATATTTACTGTCCTGCAAGTTATTTGACCACCGATGACATCAAAGTACAACACTGATGAAAGTGAGACATGCTTTATACTTGAACAGACCTACATTAGAACATGATAACATGGAATCCATGCAGAAGTATGGATTTGCTGCATTTTCCTAGTGTAAAAAAGAAGCTGACAGAATCTTGATGGCCTATTTGTAAATTTGTATGTTTAAGTAACTCTAAAGGAATAATGCTGTTATACATATGGCAGAATATCGTCCTCTCTTTTAAACATTTAGTGTTTGCATAACTCTCCCACTCAACAATCTTATGTGTTGTGAGAATCAGGTCTTTCCTCTTTTCATAAAAAATGAAGATTTGGATGGTGATGAAGTCATGAAGTTTATGACAGAGAAGTCATACCTATCCCTGTCACATGATAAACCAGTTTTCTGAACGAAGATGTGACAAGAAAGTGTGTGATTCAAAGAAAGAAGAAAATAGATATGCATGGGGATCTATAGCTATTTTTACAGGGGCTGCACATTTATTGTTATTATGTAATGTAATAATAATTCTTTATTGTCAGTGCACAACATATGTACAATGAGATTGATTGAGTCCTTATTATTTTTCTTTTAGGAACTGGAGGTCATATAATTGTTGATGTCATTGGACTTTTTAATTTTGTAGGGCTTGAGGAAGGGATTTACAGGAAAATGGTGTCTTAAGACTTCAAATACGTTTATACACCTATTTTAAAGAATAAAGGTTTTAAAAGGTAGGAGAAGCAAACCATGTGACTTCCAACTCCTTTACCACCAGCAATCATAGGAAAGGCTATATTCTTTTTTCCGGTTAACAAACCAATGTTTTGTTTTTCAGCTCTCTCTTGTGCACCAGTATATTTTTGTGTAGATATGTGTACTGGGGAACAGAGGGTAAGTTGCTTATGAGTGTTTCTCAGTCTTAGCAACTTTAAGATGTTTTGACTTCAGTTTCCAGATTCCAATCATTTGAATCTAGACAATCTTAAAATTGCTAATATTGAGAGACACTGGCCTACAAGGTCATATGATGCAAAGGGAGGGAGGAAAGGAGCTTAGAATGGAAGTATTCCCAAACATTTGAGGGCTGTCCAACTTCCTGGACAGGGGGAAGATTTTCCAAAATGTTTTCTCTACAGACCCCATCAGACCCAGTCCATTTTAAACTTAATTCTTTTTCTTCTTTTTTTTTTTTGCCAGCTTCTTGACAGTTTACTGCTCACACAGTCCTGATCCTGTTTATAGGATTTCTTTCCAACATTCTGTTTGGAAAGAATAACAAGAATAACTTCTAGATGTTTCTGTGCTTGGCACTGTGGCTGCCTCTAATTAAACTACTGATGCTAGCATGATGGTCATTTGGAATTTATGATACTTTATCTAATTATGCCACTATCAGAAACACAGGAACTAAGACATGGTATGAAATAATTTCCTTTGAATGCAACATAGATCACTAATTGAATGAAAGACAGATTTACTTTACGGTTCTGGAAGTGATATCCACTGCTTTAAAACTATCTTTAATTTTTTGTTTTTCCTGGGGGGGAAAAGAGATTTACCAGAACTTCGTTGAAGCTGAAAAGTGATATTACTAACTTATCAGAAGAGAGCCTGTCCTCTGAACTTAATAATAATAGAATCATCATCTGGAATATCCCTTAAACAAACAAAAGAATTGGAAAAGAGTCAAATACCAAAACTGGAAGCATTGTTCAAAGTGAGATTATGCATTACTCGAGCTCCAAAGAAGCTCCACTTGAGAAGGAAGTCTTGGGCTCTCTTCTTTAGAGACCGACCATTCTGCTTGCTTGCCTAAAAGGAGAAAATATTGTTTTTGAATCTTTTATATTTTAGAACAGAGCAGATCCCACATTCCTCTCATTGAGTTAACATTTTCTGAGATCAGTTCAGTGATGCGAAAACAGTGCACCACTGAACTTATGTAAAAAACCAGAGGCTCAGAGAAAAGTAAATAGCTCACGGAAAGAAAAATAGTAGTGACAACTAGGCAGTACAGAGAACCCCTGAGCCTTTGCACCAATAGATACCTATATAATGTATTAAGCAACAAGAATTTGAAACTAAATTTCCTACCCAAAAGGAGTTTTCAAAATATGGGTTGGGATCTTATTGAGTGTTCACAAGCAATTTAGAGGAGTTGTTTTTAAAACACTTTGCCTCAGGCATAATAATACAGCTGTGACTTTTTGAGTAATGTTAAATAAATGGATTAGCTTTCTGCCTGTTTCTTTTTGTTAGCAGCAGAACAACAACTAAATGAATCAAACAATAGAGTTATTATTTCTGTTATATAACTTTATTTTGTTTAATACCTCTTGTAAATATTTGTGTGTCCCTAGCAGCTCGGTCATAGGATACATGATAGAATATTTATAATATTTGGAATCAGAGTGGGTTGCTCCCGGTTTAACCCGGATCAGGCAAACTGGTAGTGGTGGCAACAGGAGGCTCCACCCACCCGTCCGTACACTTCTGCGCATGCACAGAAGCATTACACATGCACGCACATGCGAACCAGTAGTAAAAATAATGGAAACCCACGACTGTTTGAAATGTCTATATGTGCTCAAGAAATTCAATATTTTAATCTGGTATTTTGCATTTCAAACCTTTTGCAATCAATGGTAAGAAAAAAAAAGCTTAAAATGACCACAAGAAGTACTGATAAAGGTTGGCAGTCTATTCATTATAAAAAGCAAATGCTGATTAAAAAAATGTAGAACAAGAAACGAGAGTGGCTGCCTCAAAATGAAATATCAGGAATTATCCAAAAGTAAGCAAACTCATTTTTCTCTCCCATTAATAAATGGGGCTTTGTGTTTGATTTTTTTGGATTCAGTATGTGTAGAATCCATCTTCTCTAACTAGAAAATTTCTATGATGATCTTTCATACAGGGAGGGAAAAAAACATGGAATTTACTGGCATGGAGTTCAGGGATAAAAGCTCAGGAGTCAGATACTGCATTCTCAACTATGAACTTATTGAGAACTTGCTAGGGAAAGAATAGGGAGCTGGTATTTAATTAAACAATGGAAGTTCAAAATCTTTTGTGGGAAGAAAATACAAATCTCGCAGTGAATAATACCGTGAGAAGGAGGCGATGTTAAAGCTTGCTTATAGGAAGAAAACAAGCAAAGAACCTAGTACAGAGGCACAATTATTACAATAAAATAATACTAAGTTTGCAGGTCAAAAAATAGAATTGTTACTCTGCAGGAAGGCAAGGCTTTACCACAATGTATTGGGAACAAAATGTGCTTTAACTCTGTATCTCCTGAAAATCTCACACTATCTGAATGCCTTAGATGCAAGAAATCAACATTTGTACGTAACCGTATCCAGTACATTTTTAGTTTCCCTCTTGTGATTGTAGGCTTCCAACAGGCCAAACTCCCTCCTCTTTTTTCTCATCTGGAAACTCACACATCCTCTAGACTAGCTTTTCCTAACCTGTTAGATACTAGCTTCAGTTAGAATGGTTTCCACCAAGGTCCTCTGATCCGGCGAGGTTTAATCTCATTGGTCGAAGGGTCTGATGGCTCCCTATAAAAGGGCTACTGTCAGACTCAACCTTCGCTGGATTGTTCATACTTGTTCTGTTACAATAAAGAGCTGTTGTTACTGTTAGCCTGTGTGTGCCTTTCCATTACCCGATCTAACACTGATACCCTTTAGCTGTGTCAGAGAAAACCTCCCAGAATTCTCAGTCACATAGTAAGCCAGCCCATCTGGAAAATACCAGGTAGAGGAAGGACATTCTTCCATTGTTGAAAATCCTGACTTGGAATCAGCTAGTTGACAAGAAGGTAGAAAGGAAAGGCTGGGTTTTTCCCTTCTGAAGCCAAGCTTCTTTCTCAATGGGTGCACCTACCAGTTGTATGATTCTGCACCTCAGGTTTGCATTGCAACCCATTACACCTCACTATATAACATGCACATATTGATTATTTTGTTAACAACCATTAGAGAAAGGCCTGATCTGGATCAGGACATAAGTGGGTGTGAGGTTTTTCAAATGATTGCTCTATATACTTTAATCCTTTGAAAAATTACCTGCCAATTATTGCTATTAACAAAGGATGAAAGCCTGAATTGTCATCCATAGAAGCATATACTGTAGTTCTTAGAATAATTGCATTGTGAATATGCTATATTTACTTGTTAAATTTTACTCTTCTACTCCTTCTATTATTTTCCTTGATTTAACATTAAATAGGAACTCAAAATTGGATAGGAGAGCCAATAGGTTTAAGTTATTCAGTATGGCTTGGTACGAAATATAAACATTTAATCAAGTATCATACAGCTAAAAATCAAATAAGTGAATAGTCTGATTGCAGATATATTAAAAAATAGCAATGATCATAACAAGGCTTCCATTGATTTATCTGACCGAGTGCATGTAATCTCTTTTAGATCTCCAATCAATCTGGTAGGACTAAAGATAGACCTTTCCAATTGTAGGCTCATCTTCTGTACCCCAAATTTGTATGCAATGCCCCATCCATCTCAGGGAACCTAAATTGCTCTTAAATCTTCATTTGATTAAAGTGTTGAGTTTTAAACTCCTTCAAACTACTGGCTTATAAAAATGTTTTTGAACTTGTAAATATGCTTTGTGTGTCACCCAAAACCCTTCGTAAAAATAGTTTATAAGCCATTTATGACCGGGTTTTACCCTGAAAAGTGGTATATACCCATTTTGTGTGGTTAAATAGGATCAAACAATGTTCACATGCTCATTTTGGATAATCCTCTAGCACTGAGTAAGACATTAGACTTTAGCTGTTTGTGGTGAAGTTATAAAGTGCCACTTTCGCAAACAGCAAACAAAAGAAGCCATTTGGTATGATGGAGAGGCCCTATTCTTTTTCACCAAACAGAAGGCCGAGGGCAATGGAAGGATTATGTGCTCTGTAAATCATTACCCCTTACTCTCTAATCTTGATTCATATAGTAAATTGTTCAGTACTTTTTTCCAGATATGGCTGGAAAACACTGAATATTGTACATGTTTATTCTAGAACAATGTTCCATAACAGATACTAATTGATGGACAATTTTCCTCCACTGCTTTTTAAAATAATGAATATCTAAAGATTAATTAATCAAATCTAGAAATATAATTTTATTATCTGATTTTTTTTTTGTAGAATGATAGAAGTTGTGTGAAAGTAGCAATTATTTTATGAGTGGGATATGACAGTGCCTCTTCTTCATGCACTGTTACATCTCTCCCCATCATCCTTTAGCCTCTCTATATGCTTTATAAGAAAAAGTTTCATGAGAAGAATTAAATATTCACTCCACTGATACATGGAAAATTGCTAAAGGAGAAAGCATAGGTACCTGTAGTTCCTTTGTAAGTAACATAAATGCAAGATTAATTTAGATTTATATATATATANCTGACTCTCTGTAAACCGCTTAGAGAGGCCTGAAAGGCCTATGAAGCGGTATATAAGTCTACTGCTATTGCTATTGCTATTGTGAACTTCAACTCCCAGAATTCTTCCTCTCACTCTTCATCTTGATAATGTGTGGATGGGCGGGGGGAGGGAGCTGGAATCGGTTCTAAATGGCACTGTCTACGGCACTGTAGATTTGTGGAACCTCTTCTGTAGAAGAGGTTAGAACTGGCAGGAACCCACCCCTCGCGCATGCCCAACAAACAACTGGCCATCACGCATGTGTGTGATAGAAACCTGGAAATCCAGGTACCAGCGCACACATATGTGTTGGAAAGCTGCTCTTCTGGGTTTTGGTGCTGCCGCGCACATGAAGGCCAGCTGACCAGCATGTGTGTGTGTGTTCACAGGAATGCAGAAGAGGGGCCAGCAAGGCCACATGTTCCACACGGAATGGCTCTACATTGACACGTGTGCCATAGGTTTGCCACCAGGGGCCTAACCCATTAAAGCAGTCGAGGCTAACTTTTCCATATCAATAAGAACCTGGTTTGCAAAGAAACATTTTTCATTGTGACAGAAGGCAACAGACCTTGTAGAGTATTGAGTCGCAAACACAGAAGATGTCAAGGATAATTGCATTTTCAAGCAGGGGAAGAAGATGCTCTGGCATTCCTTGCCAGAAATGTAATAGGAAATGTTGGATCTAGGAAGGAGACATAAGAGAGCAAATATGAGTGAGATTTCTGCCTACACTCCTCATATTAGGAACAGATTAGCATACTTCTATAGAACTTACCTCTTCAAAGTTTCCATTAATGGCATTGTCAAGGACACATTGACAGTGAGTTTTGTACATCATGATAAGGGTATCCACCTATTTTAGGAATTAAAAATTAAAACAATGTAACATTAAACAAAATATTTATATCTCCTTCAGGAATTTCTTCTGCAACATTTTGCATTTGGAAGGAAGGATAGATTGCAGATGATTGAAAATTAAAGGAGTAATGATTAATTTAGTCATAGAAAGACTATTAATATATTTCTAGTTATGATGCTTTGCCACTTTGATAGGATAGGATCGTGATGGCGAACCTATGGCATCTGAGGGCATATGAGCGTTGCCCTATGTCAGCTTCAGCACACATGTGCATGCTGGCCATCAGATTTTTGGCCTTTTGGATGGCGTGGGGAGGCCATTTTCGCCTTCCTCAGGCTTCAGGAAAGCCTCTGGAGCCTAGGGAGGGCGAAAAATGGGCCCACGGAAGTCGGGAAATGTACTGTTTCTGGCCTCTGGAGGACCTGGGGGGCAATGGGGGCATTTTTGCCCTACCCAGGCTCCAAGAAAGCCATGCATGCATGCGCATGGGGCGAGGAGGGGGGGATCGTGCACGCATATGCAGGTGAGCAAAATGCAGATGTGGTCATACATGCATGCACACATGCTTTGGCACCCGAGGGAAAAAAGGTGACCAAGTTTACTAATGAGCATGTTTTCCTCCATAGTACATATTATAGAGATGACTCAAGTGCTCTTATTCCTCAAGCCACTCATCGAAAGGATACCAGACTGTTCTACTACCCACTTATTATTTCTACACATTAATTCTTTCATTATTTACAAGTAGTGTGTGGTGACGCATAAAATAAGGCAGGATGAGATTGCCAGTAAGCACTGATTCAGCTTATTCAATATTTCTATTTTCAGCATAGTTCCTACATATTTGGGTTTCCTACTTAAAGACTATATAATGATTTTATTAATTTTTGAAATGAAATATTTTATTAATAATTTAACTGGTTATGTATTATTTTATGGTTAATGTTAGGACTGTCAGATTGTTTTAAGTTAGGTCTGTAGAGGTTTTTTTTTTTTAGTGTTTTTCAGATGTTAGACCTTCAATACAAATTTCATCCTTTTATATGTTATGTTTATAGATGTTTGTGTGTGAGTGAGTATATATAACATGCACATACATATACATGCATATATGCATATGTATATACTTTTGAATAATACTTATTTATTTATATGTAATACAATAAAATGAGTATTTTATACTAAATGTATATACTTAAAGTTATCAATTTACTGATCTTTGTATTCTTCTATATTTTATACTGGTCAAGACTGAAATAATATTGATTTAACACAATATCTATATATGTATAGTTGTGTGTGTGTGTGTGTTTGTGTATGTATGTAAATTGATTTGATTGATTGATTTGATTGATTGATTTGGCTTGTATGCCGCCCTATTCCCGGAAGACTCAGGGCGGCTAACAATCAGAAGGGGAGGGGGTACAAAAATAAAAATAGAAAACAGGAATTTAAAATACAACAACAGTCATAACCTCGCAGGGGGCTGGATAGTTCAACAGCCCCAGGCCTGCCGGAACAGCCNGTTTTTCCCACGGCACACCTTACACTATGTCACGGCACACTAGTGTGCCGCGGCACAGTGGTTGAAAAACACTGGGTTAGATGACAGCCAGTTTTTTTACAGTAGTTAGTAGTAGTACAGTAATAGTTAAAGCAGAAGGCAAGAAAGAAGGAGACCATGATGTGATTATTTTGTGTGTTACTTTAAATATTAATGTTATGAAATGTAGTAAATAAAATTAACACAAATTGTTAAAAGCGCTATCAGATTGGTAACTAAATTTTAGCTGCCCCAAGAGTAAATACGTAAGCCAGTTTAGTGTGATGGTTAGGGCATCAGGCTAGAAACTGGAGAACCATAAATTTTAGTCTCCCTTTAGGTATAAAGTCATCTGGGTGAGTTTGGGCCAGTCACTCTCTCTCAACTCTAGGAAGCATGCAATGGCAAGCCACTTTTGAAAAACCTTGCCCAGAAAACTGCAGGGACTAATCAAGGCAGTCTCTGAGAATCAGACACAATTGAACAGAAAAGAAAACCAAGATATTTTTTTTTGGGGGGGGGGGAATTGGCTGTCCCTGGTGCACAAAAGATAGCCAGCTACAGAATACAAATGAAAAAAAAAAGGGAAATGCCCTGTCTTCTCAAAGATACAGGAAATGCCAGGCATTCATTCTGGTTTAACTCAAGTCTCACATCTTCTTCCTTTGGCTCAAAAGAGAATTCCTCCAAGTTAGCAATCATTAAACACAGTACCAATGTAATAAATTCCTCTATCATTATAAGGCTTCTACTGTGGGTAGGAAACGAGCACCTTCAGTTCCTGCCGGTATTGTTTGACTCCAATCCCTATCAGCCAAAGTGTATGTACACTGCTTGGCCTAATCCAACTAGTCTTTCCAAACCTATTGTTTGAGATAGTGAGAGACTAAGATTCTTACACTCACTCAGTATCTAAAGTGCCAGTTTCTTAAATGATGAAATTGCCTTATTACAATTCAATAAAGAAATTATGGATAATCGAGCATAATAGGGAGGTAAGAACCAGAGCGAAAATTACACATTCCTTCCTTCCCAGGAAAGTATTCATACACTATCCCTGAAGTACTCTCTCTCTTATTTTATTTATTTATTTATTTATTTATTTATTTATTTATTTATTTATGTATGTTTGTCAAGCATGTATGAGAAAACAAGTATAAGTATGAATATAACATATAAACATATAACTATACGTATAACGCAGGTATACGTATAAACGTAAGAAATGAGTACAAATAGATGGGAACAGTAGGACATGGATGTCAGGCACACTGGTGCACTTATGCACGCCCCCTTACAGACCTCTTAGGAATGGAGTGTGGTCCATGTTATACAGTTTAAGATTAAAGTTTTAGGGGTTTGAGGATGTAACACCAGAGTCATGTAGTGCATTCCAGGCATTGACCACTCTGTTGNTGTGTGTGTGTGTGTGTGTGTGTGTGTGTGTGTGTGTGTATGTATGTATGTATGTATGTATGTATGTATGTATGTATGTATGTATGAATGAATTGATATGCATCTGGAGTGCTATGGAAATTAACCCTAGCTATCGCAGCAATAAAGCAAATCTGAACATTCATGTTTAATTTGGGGACCAAGGATACTTTTCATCTTTAGGTAGAATTCTTAGGGCTAATCTTTATATAGTAGGTGGCATCTGGACAGAACAAGGAAAAAAAATTACATGAGGCCCAGTCCAAAACCCCTAGGCTTGATTTAAATGACTTTAAATGTAAAATTAATATTAAACTAATCCAAATACTGCTAATATGGTGTACTTAATTTTTCCCCCCATTCTGTAAAAATTACAGCGTGGTGGAAATTTTGGGAGATGTTCTGAAATCAGGCTTTGGAGGATTTTATGGATGCCTGGAAATTACAACTATTCACAATTGGATAAAAAAAGATTTCATAGGAAGAAAGGATGCTGATCAAAAAGGCAAGACCTAGAAAATCAGATTATAAACAGGCACCACTGAAAGCCATTTATTTTCAATTTTAGTCTTACCTTAATAACTCTTTGCTCAATGACAGTATCCAGCCATTCAATAAACGATTCCACAGTAGCATTCTTCTTCAAGAGGTCCTTCAATTCTTGAAACACTGTAATAGAGTCATCTACCATGTAAAAAGGAAAATGTGTGATTGTGTTCTACTCTGAACAGGAGAGGAAGCCACTCACCCATCATTATTAGTTTCGTAGCATGTGAAGGAAAGAAAAAGGGATAATTAGAGCAATGAAGGAAAAACAAGAAGAGAGAAAATATGGGAGATTTCTTGAGTTCCTCAAGCTAACTGCTGGACTTATTTCCCAGGAAAATTTTATATGATTAGTAAAGTTTTGCATTTATTCAAATTGACAGATCTATCAATCAATCAAGCTACCCAGTTCTGTTGTGTATTCAAATTTTGTATCACAGAAATTGTTGTTCGGGTTACTGTGAGCATTTTCTTTTTCCAAAAACATTTTATCCCACTATACATACTCATGGCTTTCTTCTTTGGAGAACTCATGCATTAAAGACTGAGTTCTCAGTTAATGGGATTTTATTGCCTCTATTGCAGATACCAAAATTTAGATCCTAACTGCCTATTGCACAGAGATGCATGTTAACCAAACCAAAAAGCCAATGACTGGGGGAAATTATAGCAGAGAGATGGCAAAGTAGAAAAGCTCTCTTTTACCCTTCCAGTGTTATGCTTACTCATCCCATCAGTTTTTTTTGTAGAGAAAAAGAACTACTAAGATTTATTTATAAGGATTTGGATATAATGTGTAGCTAAGCCTTTAGGAATATGGGTGCCTATATTATCATTACAATTATATTTGCCATTCAATATTATTATGGCTAATAAAGAACTAATTAAAGAACTTGCAGGGTGTGCTGTTATAGGACGGCTACAGAAACTTTGATGTCCCATTATCAACCATCAACCATCACTATCTATAAAGATAAGAGAGGGAATTTAGAGAATCCAAAATGCCAACAATCTTTCTTTACTGAACAGTCAAGAAAACAAGGAACATCACACTGTACAAAAATTGGAAAGTATTTGTAACCTGAATTTTGTTTTACTAGTTTTTAATATGTTTTAGAAGCTACACTTATTTAAGAAAAATCAAGCCACGTTAATTATTTCTCCTTAATTTCAGTGAGAATTACCTAAGCAAATATCTAAATTGTTGAAATCAGTTTTATGTCCTGAGTCAATGATGTTTTAAGGCTACTGTACTTTTGTATACTTAAAACATTTTTTAACAAAAAAAAACTATATCCTATTGGTGAAACTGCTTTAATCATCATTCCAGAAAGCACAATTCCTCCTTCAATCTATGGTTCCCCATGGCGAACCTTCTCAAAATTGGGTCTAAAGATTGGCAGATTTTTCAGAGCATTTGAAATTGACATAGAGGAGCAAAAAGCCCTATTGTGCAAACAAGCTTACATTTGCATGTCCTTCAGTTCATGCAATATAATTATTCCTGTCTTGACGTAATGGGATTAAGCAATGTTTGAACCTCTTTGTATTAATTAACTTTGCCTATCTCACGGCAGTGAGAAATTTATTTAATCAGAATTTTAAAAAAGGAAGAACAAAAAAAGTAATCTTGGTCAATTAAATAAGAAAACAAAACAAAAAAAGGAATCCAACAAAAACATTTGGAGTCTTCCTTATGTGATGAATAATTTTCATGTCACACACAAAATGAAAGAGTGCAGACAGACACAAAGATATTAATAAAAATATAACGAAATAATCACTGGATTATTTCATGTTGATAAATTATTTCATGATATATGTATGATAGAGGTGGGTTGCATCTGGTTCGGCCCGGATCAGGCAAACTGGTAGTAGCAGCGGTGGGAGGCTCCGCACTGCATGCGCAGAAGTGACAAGAGCGAGCATGGAACGCACTCGAACCGATAATAAAAAAATTACCAACCCACCACTGATGTATGAAGTACCTATGCAGAAGAGGAAGGAAAAGAAGGGACTAACATTCCAAATAACTTACACAAGAATTGATTACAGGCAGTCCTTGACTTACAACAATCCAGTTAGTGACTGTTCAAAGTTACAATGACAGTGAAAAAAGTGACTTATGACTGTTTTTCTAACTTACAACCATTGCAGCATCTTCATGGCCACGTGATCAAAATTCAGACGCTTGGCAACTGACTCATATTTATGACAGTTACAGTGTCCCTGGGGCCATTTTGTGACCTTCTGGCAAGCAAAGTCAGTGGGGAAGCCAGATTCACTTAACAACTGTGTTATTAATTTAACACCAGCAACGATTCACTTAACAACTTAACAAATGTCTCACTTAGCAATGGAAATTTTCGGGCTCAATTGTAGTCATAAGTTGAGGACTACCTGTATATACTTTCCAAAGGATATGTCCTGTTGTATGAATTTTGATATTTCAACACTTTCGGGATACTTTTTAATCCATATGTTAAATTAGGGAAAATTAGGGTCAAAGAGAGTTTGTTGCAGGCAGTGTGAAAGTTGATCTAAAGCTGCTTATGCTATTGAATTGAATTGGGAATCTCCTGCAATCAGAGAATTTCAGCTATCTGTAGTCTATTGGATATTTCTGTAGAGAAGTCCATGTTGATATGTGTGAAGCCAGCTTTGTTTTAAATTGGCTTCTAATGCAAAACAGAATCATATCGCATATAAAGAGCGTAAGGTAAGTTCAAGCATGCATTTCAGTTTTACAAACTAGAACAGGGGTGTGAAACTTGATTTCATTGAGGGCCGCATCACGGTTGTGTTTAATCTTGGGGGTCTGGCGTGGGTGTAGCCAGGGTGGGTGTGGCCAGCTCAACATCAGTCCTGTTGGGGACACCTGTGTTGGCCCAAGTATTCTGCCAGCAAAAATGGGCTCCCGAGCTCCATTTTCGGCTGTGATGGCCTCCTGCAACCGTCTGCCAGGGAAAACAGAGCTCCATTTTTGCAGGCAGAGGCACCGCAGGCTAGTCCCTCACTGTTTCCAGGGCAGCCCTGCGGGCCAGATCTAAGCACCCCATGGGCCGGATCCAGCCCCCAGGCCTTGAGTTTGACACCCCTGGAATAGAATGAAAGTCCTAGGACAGATTGAGAAACACAATCCCTTCAGTTGTAAGCAGAAGCTTACATTCAGTGTAGCCCTCCGCCTCAGAGTCCAGGCTCCCTGAAACAGTGAGAAGTGCCTGAGATCCAATGCCATACAGATCAACCTTTTCAATATCAGTCACCATGGCGTTCACTATATGTTGATCAAAGAGAGCGGGTCGCGCAATCTATGAAGACAAAACAGAAGAAAAATCCTGAATTTCTGTTGTTGGTGTAGCAGTGGCGTAGCACAGCTACGTTTTCAAAATTATTCATGGTCAAATATGATTATTTTGCTACTTAAATATTAATATTATGTAATGTCATTTAATGAAATTAATACCTTGCTAAAATTGCTATCAGATTGGTAACTAAATTTTAGCCACCTCAACAGTAAATAAAGATAGCCCTTGACTTACAAACACAAAGTCAAACCCAAAATTTCTGTTGCTAAGTGAGTTAAGCAAATTTTGCCCCTTTCTTACCATGGTTGTTATGTGAATCACTGCAATTGTTAAGTTAGTGACCCAGTTGTTAAGTGAATCTAACTTCACCATTGATTTGTTCATCATAAAGTTTAGAAAAGGTAAGCAGGATACTGTGACTGTCAAATATAAGCATCTGAATTTTGATCACATGACCATGGGGATACTACAATGGTCATAAGTGTGAAAANTTATGACCTTTCTTGCTACAGTTGTTAAGTGAATCACTGCAGTTGTTGAATTAGTAACATGGTTGTTAAGTGAATCTGGCTCCTCCGTTGACTTTGCTTGTCAGAAAGTCGCAAAAGGGAATCAAATGACCCAGGGATAGACTTCGCCCATCATAAATATGAACTAGTTGCCAAGCATCTGAATTTTGATCATGTGACCATGGAGAGGCTCCAATGATTGTGTGAAAAATGGTCATAAGTCATTTTTTTCAGTGTCGTCAAAACTTTGACCAATCACTAAATGAACTGTCGTAAGTCAAGTACTACCTTGTAGTAAGTCTGTTGTAACTGTTGTAGGTCAAGCACACACAACACACACTAGTATACATTTTTTATGAACAATTTCCTTATGAGTTTCTTTCCTGCTCCCTGCACAATGCAAAAATTTCCAAAAATTAGACTAACTCAAAAAACAGAGCCAAATTAGTGCATTGAAAATAAGGAGAAATAACTGACCGAATTTCCAAGAAATTGGTTCAGTTCACAATCCGTTAGCTCACTGGTGGTAGGTGATTGAAACACATAAGGGAATATCGCTCCCACAATCCTTGAGTCTGGAAGAAGTTCCATAGGTGGAAGGCATAGACATTTTGGTGAGGTACCGACGTTTAGTACTGAAAGGAGCACCAGACCACTCCTGAGTGAAAGAGTGGAATGTCTGCCAGTTTGAACTGAGGTAACGGAATGTGAGGCAACTGACAGTCAGAACAGAGTTCTTTTCTGGTAGTGAGGGGGAGTAGACTATCTTACTCCTTAGCATCAGAGTATGTTAATTACTGTATAAAAAATACTAATGATCATATGGTCATTTCGAAAAATCCTTTCTTAGCAAGCACTTAGAAGCCAAGAGGAACATACGCGCCAAATTTCAAGTTGCAGGTTTTATAGTTCTGGATATTTCGTGATGAGTGAGTGGTACTTGGCTTGTGTGTGTGTGTGTGTGTGTGTGTATACACACATACATACAGCATATATATATATATGTGTGTGTGTGTGTGTGTGTGTGTGTGTATGTGTATGTACATATATACACATTTCATGCCAATGGCATTCTACAGAGATGTCAAGTATCACATTAAAGACACATAGATGTATGCACATGCATACAGCAACAGATTTATGATGAGTTTGGAAAAAGCAACAGAGCTAGAGGCAGAAAAGGGTAGGCTGGGTCTGTTTAATTGGTATTAGTTTGGCAAGAAATAAGAGCAGTGATGCTCATTGTTAGCTTTCTCATTAAAACTTCCAGGAAGAAACCAGCCAGGTTGATTTTTCTCACCCTCCTTTTCCATGTGCACGAACATCTGTCCCTGTGCTGCAAGCAAATCTGACTAGAGCATATGCCAACACAAATGATAGCTGATAAGGCAATGATATGATTAAGTTGCTCAGGGACTTGCAATAACTCGTTATCGCAAGGCCAGCTGCCATATCAGTTTTATTAACCCACTAAATCACTTTTAATAAATAAGATAATGCCTTTCAGAAAAGGTGGAAGGAAGTTAAGATTTAACATTGATCAAAGTCTACACCCCTCCCCCCAAATTAAACTGTAACGGGAGCTCACAGTTTAGTGTTTAGTGACCATTCAAAATTACAACATCATTGAAAAAAGTGACTTATTATAATTTTTTCACACTTATCCCTATGCTTGATGCCTGAAAACCGGTTCATGCTTATGATGGGCACAATCTATCCCTGGGTCATTTGATCTCCTTTTGCAACCTTCTGGCAAGCAAAGTCAACGGAAAGGCCAGATTCACTTAACAACTTTGTTGCTAATTTAACAACTGTGGTGAGTCACTTAACAAAGAAAAATCATAAAACGAGCAAAACTCACTTAACAAATTTCTCATGTAGCAACATAAATTTTGGGTTCGATTATGGTTGTAAGTCAAGAACTACCTGTATTCTGTGACCCATACACATATTACCTTCAAAGGAAGACCCTGCAAAATTGCTGAAGTTAGCCCACATTCAGACTAAATCTAGGCTGAATTTATGTCGCTCATTAATTCCCACTATGTTTATATGCATCCAACTGTCCCTGGATTGGCATAATCATTGTATATGATTTCCTTTTCCTTTATTTCAGTTCCATTTTAATGGTGCACTTGACTAAAACAGTGTGTGGTGTTCTCTACTGCTGATCTATAATGCTTTTGCATTACTGCTCTATTCATTATAATGCTTTATTTTCTACTTCATTCTTCTCTTGCCCAAGTTCCTTATTTTTCTGCTCATACAACACCTTGTTTGCTGCTATGATAGTAAGAACTACGGTAGCAACTAAAGACAATGGATCTGATAATAGCAGTGGCGCGCTCTACTGAATGTCACCTGTCATCTCTACATAGGAATTTCTTCTGAAACTCCAGAAAACACCTGACAATAATTCGTAACAATTATAGGTTAGAATTCAGTGTTTTTCAACCTTTTTTGTGCAAAGGCACACTTTTTTCATGAAAAAAATCACGAGGCACACCACCATTAGAAAATTTAAAAATTTTTTAACTCTGTGCCTATATTGACTATAGGCAGGTGTTTTTCCCACGGCACACCTTACACTATGTCACGGCACACTAGTGTGCCGCGGCACAGTGGTTGAAAAACACTGGGTTAGATGACAGCCAGTTTTNGGGGCTGGATAGTTCAACAGCCCCAGGCCTGCCGGAACAGCCAGGTCTTAGTTGTTTTGCGGAAGGCCGGTAAGGGTCTGGATCTCAACGGGGAGATCGTTCCAGTAAACCCTCCTGTATGTTCATAATCATAGCATTATAGACATTTTGACTCTTATTTGGTTCAATAATCATAACATATTATTATTTAAAATTGATTTAACAGTCATCTACATTTTTTCCACAAAGAAATATAAGAAATCATCCACACTAAGAGTACTATTTCAGAGTCTCAGTGACAGATACATCATTGTCAAGTGATTAAGAAATAAAATAAAGAAGTGCTAACTTGTGTTCACTGACCAAAAGAAAAAAAATGTAGAAAAATCCACTTCGTAATTTGCCTCAAATAATTTGCTTCTGCCTTATCAGTGTTAAATTAGTCCATTCGTATTTCGAATGGACAGGACTCTCAACTATTTCTTTGTTTTGCCTTTGTCAGTACGAATCCCTCTGTTTGTAAAATATTAGGCAAGTTAATATGTAAATAATTCAACCACTGTTCCAATGGAAAACCCTTTAAGGGCGATAGTAAAGTTTTGCTCCCTCTATAAATCAGTCAAGTCTGTTTGATTACAAACATTTGTAGCAGTTTCATATCACTACTGTGAATCATTTGAGAGCAGAGGTGAAATAAAAAGTGCAAATTTAGAAGTCAGTTTAGTGTGCAAACACTTCACATTTTACCTTGTCTTTAGAGATACATTGGTCCAATACAAGGTGCTGAGCACTGGGGAATTCTGGAAGAAGAGTCCCAGTTTTGGAGCTTAAAGAATACTTCCGTGTAAAACCACCCTAAAATATATGAAATAACTTTACAAATGCATGGTCATAATATAATGATAATCTTATTGAACTGTTTACAAATAATCAGATTGCTCAATATCACAGGTGCACAGACTTCTGTTCATGCAGTTGAACTTCCTACTATTATTATTCCCTCTGTAAGAATATCAGGCCTTCTCCTGCATTCATCCGAAGATGTTCATCAAAACAAGAATGCATCAGGAATTTCAGCATATATGCCAGGTATATCTATTAGCACTGCTAGGTTTGCAGAAACCTTGGAGAAGTTAATTCAGATTGACCATTTCGTTTCTCCTTCATAATTGAAATGCAGTTAATTAGAAATGCTTCTAAGAATAAACAGGTCCTATCCATAAACCCTTTCTACCCTACCATTTTCTATCAGCAACAAAGGTCAGGAAGACAAAAGGAGAGTGAAAGAAAAGATACAAAATCTGAAATATATTTTTAAACATTTTCATACATGCTATTTTGTCTCCTTTAAGTGTTCTTTTAAAGACTCATCATCCAGCCTTTAACATCTTCTTCTTATTCTCTGCATTATTCTCATCATATTGCAGGATCTTCAGATCTAAGCCTTTTTAGCATTTATCTATAATATTTTAATTGCTCCAATAATACATAACTTGAAACTATTTAAATAACTGTTCCCATCAAAAGAAATTCTAATGTTTATATGCATTATAATATCAGTAAGAGTTGCATAATGGATTCAGCTTTTAAGATAGCATTTTAAAAAAAGGAAGAAGAGAAGAGCAAGAAATAGGTATCTGGTTGAGTGCAGAAATGAAAAATCTAGGAATCCCAAAACAAAACAAAACAAACAAACAAACAAACAAAATTTCTATCAGCATTCCCCAAAAAGGAAATCACATTAAAATCTCCATTTAATTTTTGGGTCCTCAGCAGACATCCCCGTATGTGCTTGGGCATTGCCAAGTTTGAGAAGTCCATCAAATGAGATATTTATTTTGAAGATTGACTCAGTTCTGGCTTTCTTGTTTTTAACATATGGAGGCATCTTTCCCTGCCCTCAACAAAGATGGCGACCGAGACAGCCTGTCTTTAGTTCCTGGAATTCTTAAGAAGTACTTTCAAGCAGTGGTGGGATTCAAATAATTTAACAACTGGTTCTCTGCCCTAATAATTTCTTCCAACAACCAGTTCACCAAACTGCT